TCCTGAGTAGCTGGGACTACAGGCGCCCGCCACCATGCCCGGCTAATTTTTTGTATTTTTAGTAGAGACAGGTTTCACCATGGTAGCCAGGATGGTCTCAATCTCCTGACCTCATGATCCGCCCGCCTCGGCCTCCCAAAGTGCTAGGATTACAGGCGTCAGCCACCGCACCTGGCTTCTTTTTTTTTTTTGAGTCAGGGTCTCTTTCTGTTGCCCAGGCTGGAGTTTAGTGACACCATCTTGGCTTGCTGCAACCTCTGCCTCCTGGGTTCAAGCAATTCTCCTGTCTCAGCTTCTCAAGTAGGTGGGACTACAGGTGCCCCACCGTGCCCAGCAAAGTTTTGTATTTTTAGTGGAGATGGGCTTTCGCCATGTTGGCCAGGCTGACCTCAAACTTGTGAATGGAAACAATCCATCTGTCTCGGCCTCCCGAAATGCTGGGATTGCAGGGGTGAGCCACCACGCCCGGCCAGCAGTGGCGTCTTTTATCAGACACACATGCAGTCGTGATAGGGCCTTATCAGTGATGAGCAGGATTGGGCTTAAGAAATCATTCAGATGAGGACTCTGAGTGATTTGCAAACTGAGATGAAATCCTCATTTTGTTGGGGAGGGCTGGCTGTGATAAAACAGGTTCTGTAACATAAAATCAAATTGACACAGGCCGGGCGCGGTGGCTCACTCTTGTAATCCCAACACTTTGGGAGGCCGAGGTGGGCGGATCACCAGAGGTCAGGAGTTCGAGACCAGCCTGGCCAACATGGTGAAACCGCGTCTCTACAAAAATACAAAAATTAGCCAGGCATGATGGCAGGTGCCTGTAATCCCAGCTACTTGGGAGGCTGAGGCAGGAGAATTGCTTGAACTCAGGAGGTGGAGGTTGCAGTGAGCCGAGATGGCGCCATTGCACTCCTGCCTGGGCAACAGAGTGAGTCTCAAAAAAAAACAAAAAAACACAGTGTCACCTGGTAAATGAGTTATTGAGATGAATGCAGTCAGTTCTCTGTATCTTTGGGGTCCACACCTGTGAATTCAACCAACTTTTTCTTTTCACTCCCTAAACACTACAGTGTAACAACCATTTACATTGTATTAGCTAGTTTAGGTGCTGTAGACATGATTTACAATATAGGGGAGGATGTGTGATGGTTGTATGCAAATACTACACTGTTTCATATAATGGACATCTGGGCGGGGATGGGGGTGTCTTGAAACCAGCTGTGCATTATATCTTCAGAAGCTTTTTCAGTTCCTTTCAGGCCTGTTGCTTAGGTTGCGCAGTCTACACACCAAGACGAGGGCATTCCTCTGCGGGAATAAAGAGTACCATGTATCTTTCTCAACTCTTTGAAAATGATTATTTCCTGTGCTTTTTTTTTGCAGAGCTGGTGGAGTTGAGATCTATAATGGGGATCGTAAAATAAAGGTTTCCAACACCCTGGAAAGCCGGCTGGATCTCATAGCCCAGCAGGTGAGTGTGGCGGTACTTCTTGGTAGTTGGTCTGCTGTTACTTTGAAGTGGGACAGACAGCACATGTCCATTCCCTGGTATTTGGGATTTGTTGCTGTCTTTCTACATTTTTGGACTTTTGCCCAAAAAGAATGAGAATTGGGCATGCAGTAGCATTTGCTGAGGTGATAACATTTACATGAGGGTGAATTTGGGTTCAGAACAAGGGTTTTGTTGACCTAGGATTCAAATTTGTACATTTTACTACATGTAAGGTGCTGACAAGTTCTTTCTGTAGCAGGAATGATGGAAATAAAGCAAATACTTGTGTTTTGTTTTGCTTTTTTGAGATGGAATTTCACTCTTTTTTGCCCAGGCTGGAGTGCAATCTCGACTCACTGCAACCTCCACCTCCCAGGTTCACGTGATTCTCCTGCTTCGGCCTCCCGAGTAGCTAGGATTACAGGCACGCGCGACCACACCGGCTAATTTTGTATTTTTAGTAGAGATGGGGTTTCACCATGTTGGCCAGCCTGGTCTCAAACTCCTGACCTCAGGTGATGCATCCGCCTTGGCCTCCCAAAGTGCTGGGATTACAGGCGTGAGCCGCCGCATGAGGCCACAAATACTTGTTTAAAGGAATTATCATAAAGCTGCTGGCTTTTCATATGTTTCCAGATTTGTACACATGAACTCTAGGAGACAAGCCAGGAAAATTCCATTTGTTCTAAAATGCTGGGCATCTTCTAGCCTTCTAGTGGTAGTCTATTGCTGTGGCTGCTAACCTACTTATTCCCTGACCTAGATGGGCAGTTTACTGTTTATGCAGATACTTGTCTTATAACTAAAGCACCTTCACCTTGATTTTTTCATATTCTGGTAACTTAAACCTCAGAACATTGTTTCCTAATAGCCACTGTCTCATCCAGTGTCATAGCCACTACTCACTCACGGATATTTGATTAAACCGAAAAATTCAGTTTCTCAGCACACAATAACCAGCTGGAGCTGGAGCTGCCCTGTTGGACAGCAGAGCCTTAGAAATCCAGGGTTAAGTCCTCCTAAGGATTCATCAGTGGCTGTAGCAAGTGCTTCCAGCCTAAACTGGCATTGGAAGTGTTCTGTGCGGCCGCTGTGGCCATAGTAGGCACTCAGTAAATGTTTGTTGAAGAGAGTGTAGGTGACCTAGCATATAGTGGTGAGATGATGATAATAAGTGTGAGATAGTAGTGACTTTAGGGTTTTTGTTTTTTTTTTTAATGTGTCCCTTTTGTAAGCAGCCTGAACCCCAGATTTGGGATGAGTTAAGCTTCTCACCAATGAATGTGTTACTGTGCTTCAGGGAACGAAAGGGTGGCTTTGATGTGCGTGGCTTTGTGCGTCCTTCCCAGCCGTGTAGGTGTGTGGCTTTCCACCTGTGGTTAAGATGTGCGGTACTCTACAACTCCTCCAGCTGACATTGCGTGTTTATTACACTTTCTCCCCACAGATGATGCCAGAGGTCCGGGGAGCCTTGTTTGGTGCAAATGCCAACAGGAAGTTTTTGGACTGAGCCTTCGGGAGGTGGAGCTCATCCTCAGCTCTCCCGCTGTGATGTGGAAGCTTCTCATATTTAAGAGACACGAATGTCTCTGTAGCTTCCTCTTTACTGCCCCAGTATTGCTCTGTATTTATCAGTGATGCCCCTCCTGTCACTCATGCCTTGCCTAATTGTTCACAGTGGTGGAAAGCTTCATGTAATATGATCAGGACCCACCTCCAGTTCATCTGAAAGTAACACAGTGTCCAGTTGGTTCTCCAGCACTAGGGGAGGGGGCGGATGGTGGTCGCATGGGCTTCCTGGGTCTCCACTCTCCGTCTGGCCTAGAGGTGATGTTTGGTGTTTGGCCCTGCAGTCCCCACTCTTGAGGCTTAGGGTGCCTGTGGCGCACCACTCCTTCCAGCAGTAGTCGCTTGACTGTTACTGTTTAGGCCTAGAAGTTTTCCCTCATCTGTAAATGTGATTTAAAATCTAAGCCATGAATATGCTTTATTTATTAAAAGAGTTACATGGATTTAATGTGATTTCTACTGTAAAGCACTACAAATTTAGGTTTTGACACAGTCAAATTCTTACTGAGGCACCTAGAAAAGAAGTATTTTCCCAATCCCCATGGCACTTGATGGTGATGGCTGTCAGCACCTGGACCCGTTAATCCTCTGGGTGTCCCCTGGGCTGTTGCTCATCGTTCCCAGCCCATCACCCGGGAGGGGAGCATTCTTTCCACCCTTGTGATCTGCCACACACACCACATGGCTCTTCAGTGTGGGCTGGCCTCTAGAAGCGCTGTACAACTTTATCGAGGAAATAGTTGTGTTAGTGTTGCCCGAGTGAGAAAAACCAAGTTTTTTTTTTTCTTTTTTTGAGACAGAGTCTTACTCTGTCGCCCAGGCTGGAGTGTGTGGCGCGATCTCGGCTCACTGCAAGCTCTGCCTTCCGGGTTTACGCCATTCTCCTGCCTCAGCCTCCTGAGTAGCTGGGACTACAGGCGCCCGCCACCTCGCCCGGCTATTTTTTGTATTTTTAGTAGAGACGGGGTTTCACCGTGTTAGCCAGGATGGTCTCGATCTCCTGACCTTGTGATCCGCCCGCCTTGGCCTGCCAAAGTGCTGGGATTACAGGCGTGAGCCACCGCGCTCGGCTCAAAAAACCGAGTTATTTTGGAGCAGGTCACTGTGTGCTGGAACCAGATCCTTTCTTTTTTTTTTTTTTTTTTCTGAGACGGAGTCTCGCGCTGTGTCACCCAGGCTGGAGTGCAGTGGCGCGATCTCGGCTCACTGCAAGCTCCGCCTCCCAGGTTCACGCCATTCTCCTGCCTCAGCCTCCGAGTAGCTGGGACTACAGGCGCCCGCCACCACGCCCGGCTAGTTTTTTGTATTTTTAGTAGAGACGGGGTTTCACCATGTTAGCCAGGATGGTCTCGATCTCCTGACCTCGTGATCCACCCGCCTCGGCCTCCCAAAGTGCTGGGATTACAGGCTTGAGCCACCGCGCCCGGCCGGAACCAGATCCTTTCACAGAGGCCCTGTTCTTCCTCCCCTGCCCCATGTTTTATTTTTCTGTAGGTGACAACTAAGAGCTGCCCAGGACCTTGCAGCTAGTACATGGTGGAGCTGGGACTTGAACTGAGGTCTGTCTCCAGGGCACATACTCTAATGCAGTTCTTATAACAGTGAGGTTCCCAAGGCTGACCATGTTGGCGCCATCCTCTTCCTCGTTAGCCCCGGTTTCACAGTAGGTGGGACTATTGTAAACACCAGCTCCTGCAGCAGGTGCTGATTTTCTTAGGACTTGGCCCCGCTGCTGTGGCATTATTTCTCCTGTAGCAGCCTATGGGGCAGGAACCGAGGTGCATGAGGACAGCTCTCACAGCAAACTTAGCTCCTCAAGACGACGCACTTAGGAAGGGACAGAATCAAGGCTTAAAGCCCAGTGTCACTAACAAGCAGATGTTTCCCTGTGGCTGTGTTCCTCCGCCCCCATAAGTAACAGTTTGAAGAGTCACGGGAGTCTGCTTCTGTGCCCTTTTTAATGTTGGGGTTTGAAATGGACGTAGAAAAGCAGATGGTGACACCATTCACTGCAGCCTGTGCTGTACCCACTGATGAACAGATGAGATTGTAACTGTTCACCTTTATTTCAAATAGTGTTCCTCGGATACAGGGAGGGGTCTGTAAGAGCCTGGGCTCTGGGGGAGGGGCCGGGCTGCCCAGTCAGAGCCGGCCTCAGCCCCCTCAGCCATCCAGGGATTCGAAAGGGAGCTTGGTCTCAAACGAGGTGCTGACTTTGAGGACTTTCATGGTCCCTTGAACTTCTGATCCTCCTTTTCCTCAACAATCAGTGCTAGGACTCTAAATAAGTTATAGAGTCCAAGATTAACAATGCTAAATCCTCAAGCTGACTGAAGATTGCCGAGTTTGACTGAGATGTTAAAATATAGAAACAACCCTTCTATTTTGACTACCTGTTAAGGTCCTGCAATTAATACAACTAAAGTACTACTTTTGTTGAAAAGTAGGTGGGTAGGGGCTTCTGAAAGCCCCTGGTAGCTGTGCCCACAAAGGAAAATGAGCGCAGACACGCAGGGGAAGAAGGCTGTGCTCGACTTGTTAGAGTATAGGGCTGTTTCTCCCGAGACTGAGGTAGCGCTACAACGCAGAGGACAAGGCAGGCCGGAGCGGCCCCGCCTGCCCTTGTCCCCTCTAGGCTAAGTGAAATGGGCTAGAGAGAGGGCGGCGAGTGCAGGGACCTGACCTCCAGCTCTGTCTACTCAAAACACTTTAAGATGCGCTCTCCAATCCCAATGAAATAGACCCCTTGAGCAATCCCAAAGAGAGGTGCTATGACCAGTGCCCGGCAGCCAGCGCCTTTCATGAAGGCAGACGGTCCTTCCTGAATCCAGAGTTTCCTGGGGAGAAAGAAGAGCCGGTGAGCTGATGGGCAGGGGCAGTCTGCCAGCAGCCCTCGGTGGCGGCCTCTCCATTTGTGCACCTCTTGTTCGAGAACAGTGCCTTCCACAGCAAGAGCAAGGGGCCAACGGTGTGGGGCTGTGCCTCGCCCGCTAGGTGCGTGCAGGTTGGTTACTTATGCAGTTGGGTCAAGGCCTTGGAAACAGGCTTGATGTGGCTAGAATCTTTGGTGAGAGATGCTGTGGGGATACCACAAAGAAGAAAAAGGCTCCCAGTACACCGTTTTCTCTGAGAGGTGAGGGAAAGACAGACTTCTAAGAAACCCAGAGCCCAGCATTACAGCTGATCTGTAAATCTGATCTAGGCAGACACCCATGCAGAGGAACTGGTCCCAGCCACCATTTGAGGGGACACTGGCTCTCACCTGGCACAGTCGGTGATCCCACTGTACACGTCCTCGCCCAGGCCTTTCTTGAGGGTTTGGATTCGAGTTTTCAGAACTAAATGAAGTAAAAGTTAAAATAAGTAGTGAACAGCTTACCTTTGGTGTCCTCCCCTCAACACGAAGTGGCTGGGTCCTCCTTTAGAGCTACCACATGTAAAACTGTGTCATAGGCCGGGCACGGTGGCTCACGCCTGTAATCCTAGCACTTTGGGAGGCTGAGGAGGGCGGATCACGAGGTCAGGAGTTCGAGACCAACCTGGCCAACATAGTGAAACCCCATCTCTACTAAAAATACAAAAATGAGCCGGGCATGGTGGCGTATGCCTGTAGTCCCAGCTACTCGGGAGGCGGGGGCGGGAGAATCGCTTCAACTGGGGAGGCGGAGGTTGTGGTGTGCTGGGATTGCATCACTGCACTCCAATCTGGGCAACAGATTGAGACTCCATGTCAAAAAAAAAAAGGTCATGAGACCAGTTCTGCCATTGTGTGCATTGTGTGATCTTTGAGTGGAGGTCTTCGTCTTTGCGCCTCAGCTATAAAATAAATGAGTCACGTTACCGTGGGTTTGTTTGGTTTTGTTGAAACAGGGTCTTGCTCTGTTGCCCAGGCTGGAGTGCAGTGGCACAGTCACAGCTCACTGCAACCTCGACCATCTGGGCTCAAGTGATCTTGCCACCTCAGCCTCCCCAGTAGCTGGGACTACAGGCGCTACCACCACACCCAGCTAATGTTTTTACTTCTTTTAGAGACAGGGTCTCACTTTGTTGCCCAGGCTGGTCTCAAACTCCTGGGCTCCTGTCTCGTCCTCCCAAAGTTTCGGGATTACAGGTGTGAGCCGCCGCCGCACCTGGCCAGGTTACTGTTGGTATAGGACGTCCGCCCGCATGTTTGGGGAGCTGCGGGCAGCCCTAACACAGAGGGAGGCATTGTCTTCTCACAGTGGGTTTAGCTCCCGCCTTTAGCCCCAAATTTTATGTATTTATTTTTTTTGAGATGGAGTCTTGTGCTGTCACCCAGGCTGGAGTGCAATGGTGTGGTCTTGGCTCACTGTAACCTCCGCCTCCCAGGTTCTAGTGATTCTCCTACCTCAGCCTCCCAAGTAGCTGGGATTACAGGCACCCGCCACCACACTCAGCTAATTTGTTTTGTATTTTTAGTAGAGACGGGGTTTCACCATGTTGGCCAGGATGGTCTCGAATTCCTGACCTCAGGTGATCCACCTGCCTCGGCCTCCCAAAGTGCTGGGATTACAGGCGTGAGCCACCACACCCGGCCAACCCCACATTTTGAAAGATCAGCAATAATTTACAGCTGAGGCTCACAACTCTTCTGAGGGGATGAAAAGCTAAAGGAATCTGGAGGGTGAGAGGATGTGTCAGGGATGAGAAACAGAGAGAAAGTCTCTGGGGCCCACTTTCTCCAGAAGGGCCTCTAATGAGCCTCTGCCAGCAGCCAGATTGCAACCCCAGACGGCTTCCAGGGTCGGGCTGTTCCATCTGTGAAGTGCAAAATTACTGTTCATCCCATAGAAAGGACACGTCTCCCACCTCCTTACCATCTAGAGGCGTCACTGCGACCGCAGCTACGGAACCTGCCACGCAGCCTGACACGAAGGAATGCACAAAGGACGCCTTACCGGCGAGCTCGTTGAACCCCAGGTGGTTAAGGTTGGCAAACAGTGGGAAGTAGATGATGGAGAAGGGGATATCTCTGCAGAAGAGGGAGGAGAAACTCTGAGCTCCGAGCCGCCCTGGGGCTGCCGCCCGAGGTGAGACAATGAGCTTTGCTGTCAGCTATGGGGCTCACAGAGAAGCCGCTGGGACTCACCCCTTCTTCAGTGCCCGGGACAGCAGGGGACAAAAGGGCTATTGCCATCTGTCCTGCCCTCCCAGCTCCTTCCTCTGCCCTGCAGCACCTGCAGCCTCTTGACTGCCAGAGGCAAGTCCGAGGCTGGAAACGTGTTCTGTGCAGGGGCAGGCAGGCCAAGGGAAGATGAGGGGCACGGCCACCCATTTACTAGGAACTCCGCGGTCCTCCGTAGACAGGGCTTTCTTAGGTGCCTTTGGGCCACAAAACACGCGGCCTTCTTGTGGGCCTGGTCATCGCTATGCAAGGGGCCTAAAACTTCAGTCTTCTAGGTACCCATTCTGTGCCACCCTGGCCAGTTCTGGACAAAACAGGAAGCACGGAAATCGTCTGCTCACCTGGGTTTGGATATTCTGGGAAGGACACAGAGGCAGATAGGGACAGCCAGCTCTCCGGTCCTCATGCCCTCCCCCATGCACTTGTCCTAGGGAACCGGAAGAAAGGCTCACCTGAGGAGGGTGGCAGCCAGGCCCTTGTAGAGCCCAGCCAGGCCCTGGGTGCGGAGCAGCTCCCGGGCGATGAGGGTGGCAGAGGGGCGTTTGTGGGTGGAAGCCGAACCCGTTGTGTAGGACCTGGAGGTGGAGGGTGCTGAGGCCGAGCCCTGATGATGGACGGCTGGAAGGGAAAGGACAGACCCCATCACTACCTGGTCCCCGACAGATGCGACAAAACACTCCAATGAATGTGGCTCTCAATCCCTGCCCCCGGGGCAGTTCAGAGGCCAGGCTGACACCTCGACTGGCATCCAGAAGAATGTCCTAATTTTAGAATGTTAATTTTTGGCTCTAAGGACGTCCTCCTAAGGTCTACAGTATCTCAGGAGCTATCCCAGTGCTGAGAACGCTTCCCAAGAGCACGGCCACAGCCTGGCCCGCTTGCTTCTCCGCCACATTCCTTAGGGCTCCGTTCCTTGCCCTCCCATTAAAACTGGATTTGATCTGGCTTCCATTTCTAAACCATTTCTCAGCCTCTGTAGATCATTTTTATTTTTACTTATTTTGGGTTTCTTTTTTGCAGTGGTGTAATCTCAGCTCACTGCAACCTCCGCCTCCCAGGTTCAAGCGATTCTCCTGCCTCAGCCTCCCTCGTAGCTGGGATGACAGGCACGCGCCACCACACCTAGCTGATTTTTGTATTTTTAGTAGAGACGGGGTTTCACCATGTTGGCCAGGCTGGTCTCGAACTCCTGACCTCAGGTGATCCACCTGCCTTGGCCTCCCAAAGTGCTGGGATTACAGGTATGAGCCACTGTGCCTGGCCTGGGTGATTTTTAGACACAAAAATAATTTGTTGCTTTTCACCGTTAGGCAGAACATACGTGAAATTCCCATGCCCTAAAGTGCTAATAGGATGGAATGTCTCCCTCAGGCTTCCATGGCACCTCCTTCTGCTCGCCCTGCAAGATGAGGTGAGCAGGTCCGTCCCACCCTTCCCTATTTGGTAGAATTTGATTCTTTAAATAATTCAGAGCCCATCATTTGGTAAGTTCAATATTACTCATTACAATGGAATTATACCACATTTAAAATGTTGTGAGGTGGCCGGGCGCGGTGGCTCACACCTGTAATCCCAGTACTTTGGGAGGCCAAGGTGGGCAGATCACCTAAGGTCGGGAGAGTTCGAGACCAGCCTGACCAATATGGATAAACCTTGTCTCTACTAAAAATACAAAAACAAAAATTAGCCAGATGTGTTGGTGCATACTTGTAATCTCAGCTACTCGGGAGGCTGAGGCAGGAGAATCACTTGAACCTGGGAGGCAGAGGTTGTGGTGAGCCAAGATAGCACCACTGGACTCCAACCTGGGCAACAGAGTGAAACTCTGCCTCAAAAATAAATAAATAATAATAAAATAAATAAATAATAATAAAATAAAATGCCGTGAGGCCCATTAACAACAATGGGATTTTCGACACTGAAATTCTGTGAATATTTATTTTCCTAAATTTCAGTGTTTGAGAAGCTTTGCTTAGATTATAAGTCCTTGCCAAAAGGAAGCTATTTCCCAATGACATGTCCCAAATTTGTTTGGTATCCACCAGAAAAATATTTCTTTGAGACGGAGTCTTGCTCTGTCGCCCTGGCTGGAGTGCAGTGGCGCGATCTCGGCTCACCGCAAGCTCCGCCTCCCGGGTTTACGCCATTCTCCTGCCTCAGCCTCCTGAGTAGCTGGGACTATAGGCACCCACCACCATGCCCGGCTCATTTTTTGTATTTTTTTAGTAGAGATGGGGTTTCACTGTGTTGGCCACTTCTGACCTCGTGATCCGCCCGTCTCGGCCTCCCAAAGGGCTGGGATTACAGGTGTGAGCCACCTCGCCCTGCTGAAAATATTTCATACTAGGATTCTGGTTATCACGCACATTTTTTTTTTTCCTTTTTTTTTTTTTCCTTGAGATAGAATCTCGCACTGTCGCCTGGGCTGGTGTGTGCAGTGGTGTGATCTCGGCTTGCTGCAACCTCTGCCTCCTGGGTTCAAGTGATTCTCCTGCCTCAGCCTCCCAAGTAGCTAGGATTACAGGTGCCTGCCACTATGCCTGGCAAATTTTTTGTATTTTTAGTAGAGATGGGGTTTCACTATGTTGGTCAGGCTAGTCTCGAACTCCTGACCTCGTGATCCACCCACCTTGACCTCCCAAAGTGCTGGGATTACAGGTGTGAGCCACTGTGCCCGGGCCACATTTTCTTTTTCGTGGTTTTTGCTTTGTTTTGCTTTTGTTTTTGTTTTTGTTTTGAGATGGAGTTTCACTCTTGTTGCTCAGACTGGACTGCGATGGCACGATCTCTGCTCACTGCAACCTCTGCCTCCTGGTTTCAAGTGATTCTCCTGCCTCAGCCTCCCGAGTAGCTGGGATTACAGGCATGCGCCACCACGTCCAGCTAATTTTGCATTTTTAGTAGAGATGGAGTTTCTCCACGTTGGTCAGGCTGGTCTTGAACTCCCGACTTTAGATGATCCACCTGCCTCGGCCTCCCAAAGTTCTGGGATTACAGACGTGAGCCACCACACCCGGCCTGTTTTGTTTTGTTTGTTGTTTTTTGAGACGGGGTCTTGCTCTGCCACCCAGGCTGGAGTGCAGTGGCGCAATCGCTCACTGCAGCCTCAACCTTCCTGGCTCAAGCAATCCTCCCACCTCTGCCTCCTGAGTCCCTGGGACCACAGACCCAAGCCAGCACGTCCAGGACCACAGCCCCACGCCAGCACATCCAGGACCACGGCCCCACGCCAGCACATCTGGCTAATTTTTGTACTTTTTTAGAGGCAAGGTCTCACTATGTTGCCCAAGCTAGTCCTAAACTCCTGAGCTAAAGTGATCCCCCCATCTCGTCCTCCCAAAGTGTTGGGAGCCACTGCACACAGCCTTTGCACAAATTTTCTTTTATTTTCTTTTCTTTTTCCGGAATCTTGCTCTATCACCCAGGCTGGAGTGCAGTGGCCTGATCTTGGCTCACTGCAACCCCCGCCTCCGCAGTTCAAACGATTCTCCTGCCTCAGCCTCCCAAGCCGCTGGGACTGCAAGTGCACACCACCACACTTGGTTAAGTTTTGTATTTTTAGTAGAGAGAGGGTTTCACTATGTTGGCCAGGCTGGTCTCGAACTCCTGACCTCAGGTGATCCGCCCACCTGAGCCTCCCAAAGTGCTGGGATTATAGGCGTGAGCCACTGCACCTGGCAGGCACATATTTTCTTATGGTAGTAATCTAGGTGCAGGCTGCAAACAATTAACTTTAAGCAATTAGTTGATCAATATGAACATTATTTTCCCCATTGTCATCGTTACATGCACCATAATTTATTGATATCCTATCTTTTACTTCTTTCTAAATGCTTTTGGAATACTAAACTTCTTACACAGGTTGAAAAACTAAACACAGTTGAGGCTCATCTGTGCCTAAACTTTATTCTCCCGCAGTTTTATTTGGTCCAGGCTGGTCTGATTCAATCTAGAAATCTAGTAGAATTCTCGCACAGCACATGTGCACAGCTGAATTGAGGAAGGGAAGGGCACTGCATGGACTGACTGTATGCCCGTTGCCAGGTGCTGCATTAGGTGCATTATGGGTTAGTGTATTTAATTTGGTCGCTGTGGTTTAGCCCTAAGGAGAGGCCCCCACATCCCTTCCATGGTTGGCCAGCTCTAGCTTTTACTATATGCGTTGTGGCATCTACACCACTCCATAGTGCTTGCTTTTTTTTTTTTGAGAGAGAGTCTCGCTCTGTTGCCCAGGCTGGAGTGCAGTGGTGTGATCACTCGCTACAACCTCCGCCTTCCAGGTTCAAGTGATTCTCCTGCCTCAGCCTCCCGAGTAGCTGGGATTACAGGAGTGTACCACGCTGAGCCAACACCACTCCATCGTTCTGAGAGGACTAGGATTTAGGAAAGGGCCAAACTTCTCTTCCAGGAAAAAACAAAAGAATGGGAATAATTCTCTTATCCCTTTTTATGCCTTTCCACCAAAAGCCAGCTTCTACAGCACAAAATACTTACTGACTGGAGGTTTCAGTGAGCCAGTCATTGGCATTTCTCTCTCTTTTTTTTTTTTTTTGGACGGAGTCTCGCTCTGTCGCCCAGGCTGGAGTGCAGTGGCGCGATCTCGGCTCAACTGCAAGCCTCCGCCTCCCGGGTTAGCCATTCTCCTGCCTCAGCCTCCCGAGTAGCTGGGATTACAGGAGTGTACCACGCTGAGCCAACACCACTCCATCGTTCTGAGAGACTAGGATTTAGGAAAGGCCAAACTTCTCTTCCAGGAAAAAACAAAAGAATGGGAATAATTCTCTTATCCCTTTTTATGCCTTCCACCAAAAGCCAGCTTCTACAGCACAAAATCTACTGACTGGAGGTTCAGTGAGCCAGTCATTGGCATTTTTCTCTCTTTTTTTTTTTTTTGGAGACGGAGTCTCGCTCTGTCGCCCAGGCTGGAGTGCAGTGCGCGATCTCGGCTCACCGCAAGCTCCGCCTCCCGGGTTTACGCCATTTCTCCTGCCTCAGCCTCCTGAGTAGCTGGGACACAGCCGCCGCCACCACGCCGGCTAATTTTTTGGTATTTTTAGTAAGAGACGGGGTTCACCGTACTTAGCCAGGATGGTCCTCGATCTCCTGACCTTTGTGATCCGCCCGTCTCCGGCCTCCCAAAGTGCTGGGATTACAGGTGTGAGCCACCTGTGCCTGCTTTTTTTTTTTTTTTGAGATGAAGTCTCACTTTTTGTCCTCTAGCGGAGTGCAAATGGCGTCATCTCTGCTCACTGCAACCTCCGCCTCCTGGGATCAGTGTTCTCCTGCCTCAGCCTCCCGAAAGCTGGGATTACAGGCACCTGCCACCACGCCTGGCAATTTTTGTATTTTTTAGTAGAGACGGGTTTCACTATGTTGGCCAGGCTGGTCTTGAACTCCTGACCTCAGGTGATCCACCTGCCTCGGCCTCCCAAAGTGCTGGGATTACAGGTGAGAGCCACCACGCCTGGCGGCATTTCTTAAAATCTTTAGGAAATCAAGTCTAATTGTGAAGAAAATATGACAGAAGCATAAAGTATTTTCTGACCCTCTGAATCAACATTCTCGTTTCTGCTATTTGTTCTGGAGCTGGCAGCATTGATAAAATGGGTAACCATAAACGAAGACTTTTTTTTTTTCCCCACACCTGGCTAATTTTTGTATCTTTAGTAGAGACGGGGTTTTACCATGTTGGGCACGCTGGTCTTGAACTCCTGACCTCAAGTGATCCACCTGCCTCGGCCTCCCAAAGTGCTGGGATTACAGGCATGAGCCACCATGCCTGGCCAAAGACTTCTACCTGCTTGGAAAGTTGACTGGTCACACAGCCTAGCAAATGAGGGTGGGATGTGGGATGTGCCTGGTTCCAATCCCAGCCCTTTACTGTTCCCATAGGAGGTGGGGACAGGCCTCACCCAAGCGTCCAGCATCCTGCAGCTGAATCTTGAGCATTTCCATGGGAGAGGTCACCACCACCTGGCACATCCCAGCCCCACACCCGGCAAGCATCTCCATCTTCAGGTTCCGCTGCATCCTATGGGAACAGGCGTCAGGCTCCTTCAGCCGCAGCTGCCCTCTTGTGAGAGGGGGACTTTCCCTGGATGGCCTCCGTGGCTGCCACTCACCCAGCTGGGCAAGTCATCAGCTAGCCCTTAGGTGTGGTCTCTGTACTGACAGGGGACTAAGTTTAAAACAAAGCCTGCTAGGGAGGTAGCACTGTGTGGAAGCTGAAAACAGTGACAGAGAAACTACCCAGGCCAGGCGTTGTCCCTGATCCCTTCAGGAACATCACTGGGGCAATGTGAGGCACAGAGAGAGCTAGAAAGTGTTTGGGGACTGATTTGTTTTTCCTGAGACGAGGTCTCACTCCGTCGCCCAGGCTGACGTGCAGTGGAACCAACATGGCTCACTGCAACAATTTTTTTTTTTTTTTTGAGACGGAGTCTCGCTCTGTCGCCCAGGCTGGAGTGCAGTGGCCGGATCTCAGCTCACTGCAAGCTCCGCCTCCTGGTTTACACCATTCTGCTGCCTCAGCCTCCCGAGTAGCTGGGACTACAGGTGCCCGCCACCTCGCCCGGCTAGTTTTTTGTATTTTATTTTATTTATTTATTTATTTTGAGACGGAGTCTCGCTCTGTCGCCCAGGCTGGAGTGCAGTGGCCGGATCTCAGCTCACTGCAAGCTCTGCCTCCGGGGTTTACGCCATTCTCCTGCCTCAGCCTCCCGAGTAGCTGGGACTACAGGTGCCCGCCACCTCGCCCGGCTAGTTTTTTGTATTTTTAGTAGAGACGGGGTTTCACTGTGTTAGCCAGGATGGTCTCGATCTCCTGACCTTGTGATCCGCCCGTCTCGGCCTCCCAAAGTGCTGGGATTAGAGGCTTGAACCACCGCGCCCGGCGGCGGCTCACTGCAACCTTGACCTCCTGGGCTCAAGCGGCCTCCTTCCTCAACCTCCTAAAGTGCTGGGATTACAGGCATGAGCCACTGCACCCAGCTTGGTGGCTGATTTTTAAAAATTTATTGCCTAGTTGATGGATTTGTCGGTGTATTCTATATGTTCTCTATATTATCTGTCACACTTCCAAAGTATACCAGCTCGTTCTCTGCCTTCACTCTCCAGCAGCCCTCAGCCCTGGGTGCACATATTGAAATGCATGCAGGCAGGTAAAATGAGGCACATTTGAAATCTTCTTCCTGCCATCTCTCCCAAAAAACACACAGTGAAGGATCCAACCCCACTCGACCTGGCCATACCCATCTTCCATGAGCAGCTGCCGGAAGAAGTCGTTGGCCGCCAGCTTGATGGCCTTCTCCGGAGTGACCAGAGTGAGGTTCACGGCAGCCCCTGGAAGTGAAGGACAAGATGGGGAGTCAAGGCCATCCCAGAAATAACAGTTTCCCGGGTCTGCCCCTCAGCCCTAGCCAGGCCAGTCTCTGAGTGAAGAGCATCTTGGGGGCCAGGTGGGGCTCCTGGGCCTGTTTCACTGAAATAACTTTCCATTTCCACTCCCTACCACATTCTCTTTTTCTTTTTTCCCTGTCTCGCTCTGTCGCCCAGGCTGGAGTGCGGTGGCACGATCTCAGCTCACTGCAAGCTCCGCCTCCCGGGTTCACGCCATTCTCCTGCCTCAGCCTCCCGAGAAGCTGAGACTACAGGTGCCCACCACCGTGCCCAGCTAATTTTTTGTATTTTTAGTAGAGACGGGGTTTCACCGTGTTAGCCAGGATGGTCTCGATCTCCTGACCTCGTGATCCGCCCACCTCGGCCTCCCAAAGTGCTGGGATTACAGGCGTGAGCCACCGCGCCCGGCTCCACATTCTCCTCTTTTTACGTATTTTTTTCTTGCGGACTCCTCAGTCTGGTTATCAGGAAGCCATTTGATTTTTGTTGCTGCTGGTGGGGTCGCGGATGATAAACCAGCAGTTCCCAGTGACAGGCGCCAGGCGCAGGGACTGGGGTTCTGCTCCTCGGTGCCGCACAAGCCAGTCCCATTGGCTGCTGGCTCCGGGCTCTCCAGGGTTTGTGTTTCGCTTCTCGGTGGCACAAGCATATGAGCTCCTGTCCAACTCCAGCTTTGGATCCACTGTCCAAGGTGGCCTGCTGGCTGGGGGCCCCGCAGGGACCGTGGCAGCGCTGGACCGTGCTGGGGAGGAGGCACCCGGAACTCCTTGCCAGGCGCTCAGGCCCCTTCGCTCAGTCCCTTTCAGCCTCTCTCTCTTCGCTTCTAGCCCGGCAGAGAGAGACCGGCAGGCAGGGTGGGCTCGCCTGCTCTTAGTGAGGCGGGGGCGGGGGTGTGCTCTGGGGGGTCTCCGGAAGCCTTACCGGGACCCAGAGCTGCCTCTGACTCCACCCAAGAGCACAGAGGCTCATCAGGAAGGACCCCCTGGCAGCCCCGGCCCCATCCCCACAGCAACGGAAGGAACACCAGTTCCCCAGGTCCCCTACGCTCACACCTGCTGCCCAGCCTCCCAGGGGGCCTGAGAAGCCCACCTCGGTACATGCCGAAGAAGCCCTCCGCCCGAGCCGTCTTCATCAGGCAGTCGATCCTGAAAGCAGAGGCCAGAGTAGGAGTCAGGGTGCAGCAGGCCGCCCAGCCCCCTCCATGCCCTGCTCCCGCGGGCACATCCCAGCTGACCAGCTCCCCAGCCCCCACGCTCACGCGCGCTGCCTGGAGACTGGAGGGAAGGGGGCCCCATCCCTCCTCCGGGCGCCTCTGCCCTCCACGCTCGCCCGCCAGCACCTACATTCCTTTATACATGGCTTTCCCATGCTGGTTCTGCAGGCGAGTCTTGGCCAAGTCGATGGGGAACACGCAGGTCACCCCCACGAGCCCTGCTACACCTCCATTGATGAGTTTGGCTGTAATGCTAGGACACGGGGAGGAAAGAGGCAGAGGGAGGGACAGGTTAGGGAGCGGATGCAGCCAGGAACGGGCAGGGGCACAGACAGTGGGGAACCCCAGCCCCACAGGTGTCCAGAGACGCTCTTCAGCCTCCCTGGCCCAGGTCTGGTCCAGACAGGACAGCCGCACTCACCAGGGCTGAGGCATCTTGCTGCAACCCGGGAGGGAAGTCCCTGGAGCTGGGACCTGCAGGGGCTTCTGGGAGGAGCCCAGCTCTGCCCCCATGGGCCGCCACCAGGGCACCGCTCTGCCCCGAGCTTCCCCGGCCCGCCCTCTGGCTCCTCGGCAGGCCTGGAGCCACGTGTGCGGTTCTCACACAAACTGGCTGAAGGTCAGGCAGAACCAAGTTTCCATCCCGACTGTGACCTCGCCTCTCTGGGCCTGCATTCCCGTGGAACTCACTCCAGGGTTGCTGAGGACTATGGAAACCGTGCCTGGGGAGAATGCCGCTATTGTTCATAATAAGAGAACAGGCACTTCCCACAGTGAGGGCTTCAAGTCGGTCAGCCCTAGAGGTGATCTCCTTCCAGCCAAAAGTCAAGGCACAGTTGAGATAACATGCCCCGCACCCTGCTGGGTATAGGAGCTTTGGAAGACCAGATATAAAAAACAAAGCTTCTCAGACTCCTTGGAACCCACTAAACTTTTCTTATCTTTCAGGCGGGAGGCAGACTGTGAAAAAAATATTTGGCGATGGATTTACCTGGAAGTGGTAAGAGTGGATGACAGTGGGCCTTTCACAAAGGAAGAAACTTGGGACGATAAAGAGAACTGTGAACTAAACTTGGCAGTCAGAGAAGATGAACCCAAACGAACTATGTTGAACAATAATATACACGTGCACAGAAGCTTGTGTGTATGTATTTGCCGCAGTAGAGGTAGTGTGTATGTGATATGGGGAGCAGGGTTCTTGCTCTTCCCCAGGACTCAGCTTGTTCTTCAGAAACCTGGATGTGCTATCACCATAGCGACTCTCTCCCCAGGCCCAGGGGCCAGGGCCTCTGGCTGCCCCCGCCCCGCTCACCTCAGATCTTGGTGGGCCATTCTGCAGGGACTGGGGATCCCAGGACACAGGGCTGCTGGCTCCTTGGGGTAGCCGCTGTTGGGGCTGGCTGAGGGAAGAAGTGGAAGCTTCCTTGGCTCTGGCCCCGCAGCAGTGTGGACAGAGCACGGGTTTTGAGTGCAGCCTGGCCCGAGCCACCTTCCTGGCAAGTCACGGCCTCCCTGGGCTGCAGCTTCCTCCCCTGTGGTCAGAGAAACACACACCTCACAGACGGGCGAGGACGCACGTCACTAGTGGATTCATGCGGCCTGCTTGCTCCACTTTTTTCCCTTCCTAAACCTTTTGGACTTTGGGATTCAAATCAGAATCCTTGAACTTTTGGACTCTGGGGATCAGATAAGAAGGAAGGGGAATGAGAGAGCAGGATACAGCCTGCTGAGGCTGGAGGAAAGGATGTCTGGGGCATTTTGGACAGAGGCATGGGAGTGGCGCCGGAGGAAGCAGATGGGATGGGAAAGGATTTTAAGAGGAGTTGCTATGAACTAGGAATCCCTTTCATTGTGTCTCAGAACTACAATAAAATACTTAAGATGGCCAGGCGTGGTGGCTCATGCCTGCAATCCTAACTCTTTGGGAGGCTGAGGTGGGCGGATTGCCTGAGCTCAGGAGTTCAAGACTAGCCTGGGCAACGTGGTAAAACCCTGTCTCTACTAAAAATGCAAAAATTAGTTGTGCATGGTGGTGGGCTAGTAATCCCAGCTACTTGGGAGACTGAGGTAGGAGATTGCTTGAACCCAGGAGACAGAGGTTGTGGTGAGCTGAGATCATACCACTGCTCTCTAGCCTGGGTGATAGATCGACTCTGTCTAAATAAGACCGGGTTTCACCGTGTTTAGCCAGCGATGGTCTCGATCTCCTGACTCGTCGAATCTGTCCGTATCGGCCTCCCAAAGTTGCTGGGACCTTATCGGCCTTGAGCCACCCGCCTACCGGCCCGGGCTTGCTTTTGGTTTTATGAGATGGCCGAGAACATCTATCGTCCTGTCGCCCCAGGCTGGAGTGCAGTGGCCTCTACCGGCTCAATCCCGCGAAGGGCTCCACTTCCTGGCGTTCAGGCCATTCCTCCCTGCCTCAGCCTCCGAGTAGCTGGCT